CTTTTCCCTTTAATATTACACACAAATTGTCTGTATTCCCCCCTCCACCCCAGTCCTTAATATATGATTGGGGGTTCAGTGGGAACCACTCTTGGTACTATGGACTGCACTGTTTTGCCAAGCCCCTTATCCATGTATTTGGTATCCATGTTTTCACTTACTCATGCTCCAAAACACACACACACAATGTTTTTTGGCCTCTCTAGATCCTCTGATGCAGTTCTATGGTATACTTTCGGCCCATGTCTAGCCAAAATATAAGGTTTGCTATTATCTCTAGGTTTTGGTATCCACCAGAGGTCTTAAAATGTATCTCCTGCAGATATTGGTGTCTTATTCTACTATGTTTGGATACCGTTGTTTATCTTAAGGTGACCAACAGACTGTTTTACTGAAGACAAATGTTGCTACCTCTGTTTAAACTGGTGCAAAGAGGTTCACCACACTTTGAAATCAGTTCTGGATGTAGCATCGTCAGTGAAAAAACACTGATATGTATTGCAGCCGCTGGCTCTCTCAGCTGAGCTTTGTAATGGATGAGCTTGGGATGGAAGGTTATACGTTTTTCATCTCAGTCCCTTGACTGTGGCATCCTTCCTTTACTAGAGTTGGGGAGATAGTGGTACAGAAGTATGAGAGCAGTTCAGTGATAAAACCGATAAAGTCTATAGTGTTTCTTGCTGCCTCTCCCATCTAGCTCTCTTTTCTTGTTTTGGAAAGATCCTCTGATGTCTAAACACTCAAGAAATATCTGTGTAACTATTAACTTCCACCTGATGCATATGTTTGCTGACCCTGCCGGAAGAGAAATAGGACAGGAAACTAAAGAAACTTTGATGTCTGAGCTAAATAACAAGATTACCTATTCATCTCCAACTACATAAAACCAACAGGGGTGATGGGGAAATGTGTTCAACCACACTGAAAGCAAGAGGACCAGCTTAAGGGCTCAGGTCAAGTTACTTCCCAGTACTTGCTATCAGAGACAACCATCTCACTTTTCTTAATTCTAAGGCTATTCCTAGTTAAAACTGCTGTAAGTAGTACTACATTCCCTGGACATTTACTGAGAGACCTTTGGGTATAAATCAAATCATTTCCAAAACAATGAGCCAAACAGAGAATACAGATTTAATTCCAAACCAGAGATTTTCATTCATAGGAATCCAGCCTATATGCTTTGCCCCATATAAACGTCATCTTCACCAAGTTTATATTTGCCAAGCTCTTTCAGACAATTGAATGATTTGATGTTGTACTTTCTGCCACGTTTAGACGCATTTCCTGGCATTTCATTTCTAGGAGTATCCATTCAAAAGTAGTACATAAACACAACAGAGCAGGGGTTCATAATGGGCACCCCCCTGAAGCATTTCTATATGTCTTGTGTTCACAAATATTTCATGTACACCATTTATTTGAGAAATACAAACTTGGAATTTCAATGTAGTCTGGCAGTTTCTGAGATGTTTCCCAGTGTAATATCCACATCCCAAAAGACATCCAACCTGAGCTAGACCCACACTTGTGTTTGCAGCCCTGTTGTTGAATTTAATAATTAAAACCATGTAGGGGAAGAAGGAAAATCTAGTGAGTCTACTGAAACAGACACACATATTCTATTAATACAACATATTATTGTAGAAACTGCAGGCGTCTGGGTGTAATGTTTTGCTTTTGCAATGTCTGTGATGAGATGTCTATAGGGGAATAACTGTATAGGAAGGTCATAGTTGGCTGGTTCTAGCAGATGAGACACTACAAATAAAGACCTCCTAAATACAGAAGTAAAAATAAATGAGCTTTGCAGATGTGAGCTGGTTCAAATATCCAAAACGTCTCTCTCTGTGCCCATTCTGTTTCCATATGCTGGAAATCACTTCTCGTGCTTTCTAGCAATATATTGGCTGCTGAGATTTACTATGTATGGAGGTATTATTTTAAAATGTTTTAAAATTTAAAACAATTTTTATGGAAGCTTAAGATAGTGAGCTTTTATCAGTTAAAAAAACAAAAGCAAAAGGAGAATGACTTAAACTGGACACAAGTATACAATAACTGGCTGTAAACAGTAGATATTAAGTAATTATACAAATATTTTATGCTGCAACTGCTTGATTGAATAAATTTCTATATAAATCAGTGGGCAAATGCACTTAGCAGCTTTACTAGGTTATTTAATAGTGAGGCGATATAGGCTGTATCTTTTATCTGAAATGTCTGACACCAAAAAAGTTTGGAATTTTGATTTTTGATTTTATTTTGAAATATTTATTTGCACATACATGAATACATACATACATACACAATGAGATTTTGTTGATGGGAGCACAGTTCCCATCAACACAAAATTTATTTATGTTTCATATATAGGCAGTTCCCAAGTTACAAATAAGACAGGTTCTGTAGGTTTGTTCTTAAGTTGAATTTATTTGTAAGTCAGAATAGGTATATTTTTAAGTGTAACTCCAATCTATCTATTTATCTATCTCCTGTCTGTCTGTCTGTCTGTCGATCTATCAACACACACACACACACACATACACACTTGCTTTCGATACCATGGGGAACAAATCCCCTGTGGTGTTTGTTTTGCTGTCTCTGCCCCTGTTCAGAAGAGTTCACCTAACTTTCTATCCCTATGACAACTGGTTTTTGAAACATGTGGCTAATTGTGGAAACAAGGATTGGTGATAAAGCTTTAGCAAAGACCCCATTTCTCCATAAATCTTCCAGGAGTGAATTTCCCTTTCTATGGGGTAGATTTATCACTTCCTGTTGTCTCACCCCTGTTCTTAACTATAAGCCATTTGTAAGTTGGATGATTGTAATTCAGGGACTGCTTGCACACCTTATACACATAATCTGGAGATAATTTTGAACAATAGCCTTAAGAATTGTGTACACGAAATTAAGTTTGTATAGCTCAGAACATCAAAAACCAAAGGTGTCGCTGTCCCAGACTCCCATGTGGATGATTTGGAGGAATTTAGATTTCAGATTTCCAGATAAGGGGTGCTCAACCAGTACAAAACAGTAGTTGTCAACTGCCAAAGATCACTGAGTCTGCTTTAAGCCTCAGAGGTACGCAGTTCAAAACTAAGTAGTTCAAATTAAAAGATTGACAAAAAAATTCTACGTTACCAACTATAATGCAAAATTACAAGAATGATAAATGAAATTATTCCCTCTAACAGAGGGAATAATTTCATTTATTGTTCTTGTGATGATGCAGATATATAACAAAAAGAAAACAACAAGAAAAAATAAAATTGAAATATAACACGGAATAATCCATGTTGGCTGGAGAAGAGGAGAAGAACATGTCAAGGACACTAGCTGAGAACCAGTGGCTCTAACCAATCACTATATAAGATTTCTAGATGGTGTACCATCACAAGTTTCAATCAAAATGCAATCTGGTGGACCATTCTTACCCAGAGGAACCATATTATTTCAAAATGATTTGGGAAAACATGCCCATGCAAATTCCTTGAGCATGACCCTCATCCATTTCAACAATATGGCTCCTTTACATTCCAGGATCTGCTTCTTGGAAACTGGTAAATATTTTGGATCCCTTCAAGAGATATTAAATCTTTGTGTGGAATTTAAAATCAACAGTGAAAATAGTACTGTTAACTCGCTCAATGCATATAACAGCAACAAAAAAGATACATATAGGCTATTAAAATAAATCAGACATTCCACTTAGGGTCAATCAGTGCAAATTTGAGTGAATAGTCTGCCCACAGTTCTCAATACACAATTGAACTGTTCATTCCCTAAGCTAATGAATGTTGGTTCCTGCCAATAGATAAAGAAGTCTCTGTGCAAATTAGAGCCAACAGAACATACTTTAAAATTGATTTTAAATAGTCAAAATAATTCATACCGCTATGGAAAATGGACTTGAAGGATAGCCACAAATAGCCATAATTTGCTAAAGTAAAGTCCTGGACTGAGACACAAAAGCCAACCTATCCCATACACAAGGAAGAAAAGGCAACTTTACACAATACGATCCAGTTTTATGTTATTGCAGCCTGTACCTTTTTTTGCATGCAATGTCAACTATCCTGAAAAGATCCATTAAAGAAGATTTCAATGAAGTACATTCCAAACATTCTATTTATAGCTATTCAGGCATAAAAGTAATTTGAAACACATTAGGAACTCATTGAACAAACCACATCAAAGCAATTCTGAGGTACAAAGCTTGAAATGCAGAAAGATGATTCTCTGTCTACCTTAATTATGAAGTGGCAAGTAACTGCAGGTAAAATGAAAGATATTATAGGGGGGAAATGTTTTCAATATATAGTTAAATATTATACTCACTTTTCTTTAAGGAAATCTACCACCCTTCTGAAGTCTGACACACAATATTCTCTCTTCATGTCCATGAGTACACTATCAGAGGCAGATTGAACTGGTACATGAAGAAAAGCATAGACTCTTGGATGGTTGAGAATTTTTGCCATTTCCTAAGATATAAAAATAGTGATATTTTATTACATCATGATAGTCGCACCATTGTCTCTATGCATCAATATATATTTATTTACAGGCGATGTACAGATTGGCAACAATTTGATAGCACACAGAAAACTCATAAATGTCACACATATTAAAACTAACTATATTATACACACTATGTGAGACTATACTGGAATGCCCAATGCATTTTTATATAAAATAAAAGGAAATATGCTAGGTTTCAGTATTCTGGACTGACCTTTAATTGTACAGAACTACACAGTAATAACTTTATAACAAATAAAAAAATGCTTATTTTACAAAACTGTCACTTGAAAGACTGTAAGCAATATCCCAAGTTTTAGTTACTGCCATCATCATCACAATCATCATCATTATCGTTATTATTATTTCAAAAGTGGAGGGCTGACAGCTTCTTACAACAAATGTTCCACCTCATATGGACACAATTTTTCCAGCACCAAACACTTGGAAAATCGAATATATGCAATACACTGGAATTCACTTGCAATTGGAAAACATCCTAGATTACTATTTATACTTGTTCATAAGGGTTTTTTTTAAAGGCATAAAAATCAACCCAAAAATATGACTTGATGAAAGATAAAATATTTAAATTGGGGTGAGGGGAGGGGATAGGAGTGGCAACTATTTGGTGCTATGACACAGAGAGTAGAGGAGGTGATTCTTCTTTGAAGTTCTCCTAAAATGGACTAAGCTATTGCCTTTCATCACTCAACTCAGAATAAATTAAGGTACAGTAATAACTCTTATATTAAAAAGGAACTAGAGTGGTGAAAGGGAATGGCATCACTAGGATTGGTGTCATACCCATGGGCCACTGGTAAAAGGTCTTTTTAAATGCATGGGCAGGAAAATTGTGATGGTAATGGTCAGAGACTGGACCCGAAGTGATACTGGCACTTTCCCCTCTCTCTGAAATGACCCTTGTCTTATCTATGAGTGTTATCAAAATCTGTAATTTTGGCCCAGAATTCCGCCCATGACTTATACACAAGGACAATTTATACATAACTATTTATGGCAACCGAATCAATACTTTTCCCCAAAAATCATCCCCTTAGATAAATATTTATCAAGACATGTCAAATGTTTTAATATGACATTTCTAGATTCTCATTCCCTAATTTCAGGATCATATTGAAAATACAAGTCTCAATAATCTAATAACAACAACGTAATCTTTCACATTTTGTTACTGCAGATTATTCAGATGATGCCACAAAGCCGAAAATGTGTCTGATCATCTGTCAAGGAACACAAAGTATTTCTACATTAAAGTCAAATGACAGATTTGTAACAGCAGAAGTGGTGGCTGAGAGAACTTTAATTATCCATCAGAATATAAATACTTTAGATAGTGATATCTCATTTGGTTATTAATTAATGTACAAATATTAAAAGAAGACCTGGAGACAGTTAATTATGTACAGTATCCATATTCTCTATATTAATAGCCTTATCTTCATTCTTATGTCTTCAGCCAACAGAAGTGATGAAGACTGGTACTTCCTTCTTGAAAAAGGATAAAATTGTATTATTTGTAAAATTGTATTTTCCAATGGTGCTTAGATATGGAACTAGAAACGACTGAAGACTCAATTAATGCTGATCCCCCTGCTGCTACTAATCCATGAACAAAATTAGCTTCAGCTACACAGATTCGCTATAGGCAGATGGCATGTATAAATGACTGTCAGAAGACTTGACACTGAGCACAAAATTTAAGAGTGGAACAGTCTAAATTCAAATCTCTCAATGAACACTGTGAATTAAAGAAAACACTTGGTGTGGATATAAATTGTTGTAGACCATTTTGAGAATCAATTTCAGCAGAAAATGTAGGTAGAAAAATTGACCTTGATCGGAAAGAAGAATTCCACATATCCAATGAGCCCCCCTACCACGAATGGCTTACCATACAAGATGCTCCACTTTTATATGAGTGAATATCATGGAAGATTTCAAGAGGCTAGCAGCCCTAAACCCCTCCTTACAATTAAGCAACAATGCACACGTGTTGATGCCATGTGCCTGCAAGTCAACTCCAATTTAAGACTAATCTATCATAGGTGATTTTGGGGAGAGAGAGCAAGACTGAGTCAGAGAAGACCTGTCTTGCCTTTCTCTGAAACCTGAGATAGTATGACTTGCTCAAGTTTGATCCAAGGACTTCCATCCAACATACAAATTACTACACCATGCTTGTTTTTGCATACCTATTAGCTGGTGTTATATAAATAGTTTCTATTCATTTGCTTGTGTGTTGAAATTAACAAAATGCTATGTTTACTATAAAGAATGGATGCAAACAGTAACCCCAGTACATAAATAAACCTTACAGGAAGAAGGGATATAGTGGAGAAGGAGAGAGAAGAGATGGGAGGGGAAGGAAAGGGAGGGAAAGGAGAAAGAAAGAAAAGTGAAAACACGGATGCCTGCAAACTAGAAAAGAAACAACTCCGAAGAGCTGTTGTAAGAGAAATCTTGAAAGCCACATTAGGGAAGGGGGGAGGTTTTGTTACTGATGTCTCTCCTTTTCTTTTCTTTTTTTTTCTTTTTCTTTCTTTTTTCTTCTCTTTTCTTCCTCTATTTCCGTTCTTTCTTTTTGTTTCGTTTCTTCCCCTCCCTATCGTTCTCTACCACTCCCACCTCTTTTATGTTTTTTTTTCCTTTCTCTTTTTAATCTTCTATTAAACACTTGTAGATAAGACTCGTGATTTTATCTTTGTATACTTGAAAATTTAATAAAAACTATTTTTTAAAAAATAAATAAACCTTACAAGTCATGTACAACTGTAAAGAACACAATGGAGGTGCATCTCTGGGAATGACCCTAAGGGTGTGGAAAATTAGGAAGGTATAATAGAATATGAGCAGAATGGATCAAATGAGTGGAGAATATAGAGATTAGTCATGACCTGGGTGGAATGATAGCACTAAAGTGGCAATATTAGATCCTGGCAATATTAGATCAGCTCCCTCACTCCTGTTCTTCAGAAGGATGGTGAAGACCTGGCTGTGGGACCAAGCCTTTGAGGTAGTGCAATAAGGCAATAATAGAATGGTGTCCTGAGATGGTTTTAAACAGTTGATTTTAAAGTTGATATAACTGATTTTAATGTTAGCGTATATTTACAGTTTATGGCCCGGCATTAAATGTTTGCCATATATACGTTGCGCTCCATCCTGAGTCCCCTGCGGGGTGAGAAGGGCGGAATATAAATGTTTTAAATGAATTAATTAACAATCTTAAGAAACAGAAGACCACGAACAGCAATGAGACACTGTATTCCACCATGTCTAGATATTATCTCTTCTCAGCACCTTCTTTGGTCACTACAAACATAAATGCACATCTTATTTCTATCAGAGATCTAGTTCATCGACTAGGTTGTGGAGGGTTTGAAGTCCTGGATCTATATGACATCAAGAGCTTGTGTGGTGCAGAAAGCAGAAGAGAAATTTGAATCCTAAGCTGTATAAGAGAGCAGAAAGCAGCACTTAGTTAAGCATGGGCTGAAGGGTGGAAATCTTCATAATCTGGATTCATTTGAAAAAACTGAGACATTGTGTATCCCCGAACACAACGTAAAACATGATGTGATCTCTTCCAAGTAAGCCTTAGGATTGAGCAATTCAATTAAGTATTCAGATTAGAAATCAATGTGCCATAAATTAGAAATCCATGTGCCATAACAAAGAAGATGTGGGACTGGGGCTTATGAGGTCTAGGTTGAAACTGCACTAATTGTGAAATCCTTCAGGTGATGTGGGCTAATTGTTCTCCCTAAACCTAAAATAGTGAAGAGAAGGGACATCACACTGGCAACGAAGATCCGCATAGGTAAAGCAATGGTATTCCCCATAGTCACCTACGGATGTGAAAGTTCTTAGAGTGCCTTGGACTGCGAGAAGATCCAACCAGTCCATACTTCAGGAAATAAAGCCCGACTGCTCATTGGAGGGAAGAATAGTAGAGGCAAAGATGAAGTACTTTGGCCACATCATGAGAAGAAAGGAAAGTTAGAGAAGACAATTATGCTGGGGAAAATAGAAGGAAAAAGGAAGAGGGGCCAACCAAGGGCAAGATGGATGGATGGCATCCTAGAAGTGACTGGATTGACCTTGAAGAAGCTGGGGGTGGTGACGGCCAACAGGGAGCTCTGGCGTGGGCTGGTCCATGAGGTCACGAAGAGTCGGAAACGATGAACAAATGAACAACAACAACAAACCTAAGCTATTATAAGAATGAAGTGGGGAGAAATCCATGTGTCATCATGGATTTTGATATCAGAGGAGCAAAGATGACTATCAAAGCAATCAGCTAATAAATGAAATACTACACATTCTTCAGCCACTATTCTACTTTGGATAGCAGGTAAAACAATATGGTATAAAGATATAATGTTTTTGATATGAGGGAATGGTTAAAATGAAATCCTCATCTCTCATGCACAGAGATTCCTAAGGGCTATATTGTTTGGCAATATCTGAGCCCACCGTTTCAGGACTTTGCTTGATGGAGAGGTCAAAAGTGAGAGAAGACTTCCTTTGCTAAACACCAGCATGGAATGAAAGAGAAGGTTAAATGTTAGCTGACAGCACAGAAAGAAAATAGCAATGACATGCATTTAACACACTCTGCAAAGATGGCAAGTCTGTTAACATCAGGAAATATGTTTATACCGCTTGCTAAATACATTTCACCTCTTCCACACAACTTCCCAGCACAGAATATTAAAATACTTAGTGTGTGAGAGAACAAAGAAAGAGAGGAGAGGAGATTAACTGTAGTACTAGAATACATTTCTAGCTGCCATGTCAGGGCATGTCTGGGGAAGCCATCTGTAGAGTATCAGCTTAAATGAGACTACTGAACACAAATGCTGAGTTGACATGAAGAATCAAAGAGAAAGAGCAAAGAAATTCTATTGTAACTTGCAGCACCCTTGGCATTCATGCCCATTCAAAGGAAAACACACACCCCACACAGGATCTTCTCAGTGGCTGATATATCACTGAAACATTCTGAATTAATAATGAAGGTAAAACTCACAGATGGCATATGGCAGAGTTTGAACTAGATTCATTTTGACAGGTGACACGGAAGACTATGCATCTCATGATGTGAAATTAAGCATTTAAAAAGGAATTGCTCAGTGTGAATGGCCTTTTTAAAATCAAGATGTACATATACGCCACCACCTTTAAATAAGGTGCTATATGGCCTAAAAATGATGAAAATATTTTAAAGCTTGATATGAAGTAACTCCTGAAGCAGCAGCAGCAGTGAAACGGGCAGTATTCAGAGACAACTCTGTTTTAAGGTACATTAATTTTCTTATATAATATGACCCCCAAATTCATGGGAGACATGTTCCTGAGATTGGCATGGAAACAGAAATCTGTGTGTAACAGCTAACTCTTTTGAGAAGAATGACTTCGAATGACAGTTATCACAGAGCCGCATTGGGGGACCTAGAAAATTCCTGGAGAGGTATTCTCTCTAGGAATTCGCTAGGTCCTACAGGGTGACTTTATGGTAATTTCTGATGAAACCATGCCATAGAATTGTCAGGAGGACCTAGAAGGTTTCTAAACAGGACATATTTTGTTGGATGCAGTGTAACTGTGGGTACTGGTCTCACAGTTTCACTGTTGGTAGTACTGTGCTTTAAAGAAATCTAGGCTTTTTTTGATGGTTACACAACTCTTAAAATCCAAGTCTATCGAGATATATTAGGTTCAGTTTCAAAGTATGATTTTCATTTATTTAATCATTTAATCTAATGAAACTTGGAACAACATTATATGGACAGTGTAGATCCATATAACGCAGTTCGATGCAGCTTTTGAAGCAGCATATAACATTAAAAACCAAAAATGAAAACCTATACAATATTATAACACATATATTAAATAATTAATTAAACAATCAACTGAAGTTATGAATTGATCAAGTAAAGCACTAGTTCCCATGATTAGTGGCTAACTCAATTCAGGAAGATTTGAAGAAAAGATGGGTTTCTGACAGTCATCTAAAGCACAATGGAGTCACAACCTCCAATACCAAATGTACAACACAGTCCTCCATATTTTAAAATTCCGACAGCAGTGGTCCAGGCAGCCCAAAGCTAGAACACATGTTAATGACATATTATCTTATTTCATAAAAAATTAAAAGGCTAATTCCAGTTGATACCATCAACTAGAATAAAACTACTGAATAAATGGAACCTAGAAGTGTCAACTTATCTAGTTCACATTGTTTTACTGGTATCTTTAATTACAACAGAGAGACACTACTAAAAGTCAGTATTCAGATTCAGTATCCCAAGTAGTCTCTTTAGTTCCTGACAATGCAGAGTGTGACTGAACAGACATCTCAAAGATAACAACAAGAAAAAAATTAGTAAGAACCTTTACTCTGTGCCAGATGCCATGGAAACTATTTAAGGCTTAGATGACCAAGAAATGGTATTAAAGAGCTCAGAAGAATGAATAAGCATGTCCTCTAAAAGATAAGCAAGAAATGAAAACTAAACTAAAATTTTGTAAACTAAAATCCAAGTGCATTTCTCTGTTTAAAAGAAAAAAAAAAGTATTCCAGACAACTTTCAAAGGGGGAAAGAGAGAGTGATTTAGGATCTACTGAGGCTTGACTTCTCATTCCCTAATCTAAAATGCCACTGGTTCAATAACCAATTTTGATGAATTTACAAAGCAACAGAAACTATACCAGCATGCCTTCCATTCATATAAATAAAGGAAGCTGACAATGACACATGTAATAGATAGTCACCCCTCCCCTTTTGTGGACATAGCCCATGTCCACAAAAGTGGACTAAACAGGTTTTTTTTTTTGGGTGTGTGTGTGTGGGGGGGGAGTGGATTTTGCTATTGTGGTCCTTGAGGATGGGAGTACCCCCATGGTCTTGAGAGAAGAGGAGCAGCAGCAACACTTTATTTATTATGTGGATTGTGGTTATGTTAGGGGTCTAGACAACACAGACATATTTTTGTATATCACATGAAGAAAAATGTATCTTATTTCATTTATGCTTTGTAGTTCATATTACCTTGCTAATTTAATCATCAATGACTATTCTGTTAAAGAACCACATTCAAGATTTGCAGTTTCAATTCTTTTTTCCCCATTTCATTTTTGTATATTTTTTGTTAATGTTTTCTTTCACTTTTTTCAGACAGAAGGCCTAACTGCTGATTCCACCCACCTTCAGACATTAAGAAGTGAATTTACGAGCAAAATATTTCTAGTTTTGATGACAGATAACACTTATAATTAGAAGTCTTTAACTCAAAAAGGATGTAACAAGGGCAAGTTTAGTCACCACTATGATTGTCTTTTTGAACGTACTTCGAGGTGCTCTAAAATATATGGAGGGTTTGTCATGCCAAGTCTCAACATTGCTCCCTCAGGGATTACGTCGACCAGTTTCCAGAGGAGAGTCGGGAGGTCTGTCCCAATGTCTCGTCCATAAGCTCCAGTGTCTTCGCTGGTGAGCCATATTTCGCATACCCCTTCTGTCAGAAAGAGAGAGAGAGAAAGAGAAAGAGAGGTAATTGATAAATCTGCTTTTGAGCTTGCTATTTTATCACACAGCTGCTCATTCTCTCCTTTTTTTAAAAAATCCACTATTTCATAAGCCTAAGTATTATGCATCGAGGCTGGGTATCCAATTGCAAAGAAAGAGAGCCATATCCCTTGGGTAGCAGAGGGTTACTGAGTGCATTTTATGAGCACCAGAGTGCTACAACAATGCTGTAAATTATTGCTTTGGCGTGATTAACATTCACAGCCAGTGAGTAATGTGAGACGCTTCTTAATGCAACTCAGACACGAATAAAACTTCATTCCCTTTTCTAAGAGTATCTTGCTTATTAGGCAGCATGAGCAATGCGAGTGAAGCAAGTACTATGTAGTACTGGGCAAACTGTTAACAATCTGCTGACTAACTGTCTAGTTAATAGCCTTGTAAAAGGCCAAGTACTTATGGTCCCCAAAAGCCAAGTGCTGACTATATGACTGTACTGATTATCATTTATAGTAAAGCAACTGTTACACACTGAAATATTTACATCTCATTTACAAGGATATATTACAATCTGCTAATTGTAAAAAGACAATGAATGTAGGATGAAGAAACAGTTACTGGAGGAAAAATGCAGTAGCAGGAAGCAGTAATATTTTGCCTTTTTAAAGAATAAGGTTTTCAAGCATACATGTCAATAACATCCTGTCTTCCAAGAAACTATCATTACTGTCACAATCATGACAATTTGTCAGTAATGAAGTTTGTGTCCTTTTCAACCCCGCTGTATTCTATTAACCTTTTATAGTAGTCGTCCCTCTACTTTCATGGGGGTTAGGGGAGTAGGGCACCAGCAAAAATGTAAATACCACAAATATAACTACTATTACTACTACTACTATTACTATTACTACTATTGAAGAGTATTTAAGAGAAACAACTGGAAAAGCTGACACAATATGAGGATTTAAAGATCGAACTGCAAAGACTCTGGCACAAGCCAGTCATGGTGGTCCCAGTGGTGATCAGCACACTGGGTGCAGTGCGTAAAGACCTTGGCCTGCACTTAAACACAATCGGCACTGACAAAAGTACCATCTGCCAGCTTCAGAAGGCCACCTTACTGGGATCTGTGCACATTATTCGCCGATACATCATACAGTCCTAGACACTTGGGAAGTATCCGACGAGTGATTCAATACAACAGCCAGCAGAGTGATCTTCTCTGCTGTGGACTCATCTTGTTGTGTTTTAAATAACAACAACAACAACAACTTTATTTTTGCACCCTGCCTCCATCTCCCCAAAGGGATTGGGGCGGCTTACATGGGGACGAGCCCAAATTCTCTGGGTCCTTCAAATTGCATTTAATACACATTAAAATGTATATATATGGGATGGGGTGACTGGTCCTGGTCCTCCTGCACTTTCTTGCTCAGGAGAGGGGAGAAGGGAGGGAAGAAGAAGAGTGGAAAGAGGGAGGACAGGGGATGTGTGGGTTTCCAGGGCGGAAGAAGGGAATACCTCCACCATAAGAGTATCATTCACCATCCCTTCCTACTGCCATTGCCATTATTCCATCTTCTGGCTTTTTCTCTCGCCTTCTCTCTTCCCCTTGAATTGTTCCTTCTGTTCACCCTGGAGCACCACAAACTATTTGAATTCCTCCATTTCATCATCTTAACATCTACTTGCCTGTTCAAGTGAATGAGTGAAATTAAATTAGATGCCTAGTTCCTGAGATTTGAAGGATGGGAAGAACAACCGATTATCAAAGCTAAACTGATATTAAATTGAATGTGAATATCTGAATAAAGGTTTTTGGTTTTTTGGTTTTTGTTTTTTTACAAAATCCACCTGGAAGAATGAAGAAGCTACACAAATGACAAAAAACCAGATTTCAACCAATTTGACACAATTTTCTCAAACTCTATGTCAAATAAAAATCTGTATTTCTATTGTATACTATATCATAATGTATGTGCATATGTCAACTTATGGAGACTCCATGAATTTCATAGCGGTATCCTAGGAATACACTCCTTCTTGTCATGAAAAACATGAGACATCAGGACACAATTCCTGTTTGTTTGTTTGTTTGTTTTCCAATAGCTGGGTGGTGGTCTCCCATCCAGCTACTAACTAGGACAGCTCTAGCTTAGTTTCCAAGATCAGATGGATCTGGGCCCTTGAGAGTATTTAGGCCCCTTTGTGTTAAACATAATCAGAAAGTAGGTATGAAGGAAAGATGAAAATTACATGCTGTAACTATATAAGATCTGAAATGACAAACCATAGCAGAAGTTGGAATTAGGTTTGAAATTTAATTTGATAATATTTAATATTAGTAATTGTAGAAATAACCATTTATATATAGTGTTTTTAAAGTTGTTTTTGTAATTGTGATATATGATATTTTAATGAGTGTATATGTTTTTTATGGCTGGAAACCGGGCTGAGTCCCTCAATGAGGTTGAGAAGCTCGGTATAGAAAACTGTGAAATAAATAAATAAATAAAATAAACCATTGCTATAAACACTAAAAACTGTCACTGTTAACTGTTTAAACTATACTTAATTAATTCAGTATTTAAAATACTAGATTTTGTAACAGATCAGACAACTGACACAAATGACATGGAGATTGTCCACATTGACAGTAGAAACATACTGGCATCATCAAGGATGAACGTAATTGCTGGATGTTTTAGCTCATAATTATATCCTTATCAAACTCTTCAAAGTGTGTGATCCATCAGAGAGGTAGGTGAGTATGATCAGAAAGGGAAAGGAAGAGAGAAAGAAGCGGAGAGAGATGGAAATGGGTGAGATGAGATAATTTTTTCATGTAAAGGTGCAAATGCCTAGTTCTGTGTGAAGAAAACAATGATTACAAAAGCTGTGAATGGAATTTACTTCTGAGTAAATATAAGAGCAGAGATTTAGTGGAATGAATTTTCTGGCTCTAAATTAATACTACTATCTTAACCAAACATGATACCACATGTAATCCACTAAAGCAAGGGTAGATAGAGAGTGGAATGGAAGCAGGGGAAGGCAGGACAAAGAAAGGAGGAAAAGGAAGATGTGTATGTGAACAATAACTAAAGGATTGTACTATGTGAGCAACAATAACTAAAGGATTACAAAAGGGGTTAACTGAAGATCTTATAAAAATATTGTACAATGTAATAATATATAACAGATACCAGAATAAAAACAATAGATAGTCATTGTACACTCTGACTTGCACGTCACTAGGTGCTGGTAAAAGGAGCACCAGCCTTTCAAGCTTAATGAGGCTGACATTCTGTAAGGGCCATTTCTGCTTAAGGGCCAACTATTCCATTCCCGCAAAAGATTCCTTTTCCCTTCCTATTTTCTTCAACACTTTTCTGATTCTTGTTCTTAACTTCTTCCCAGGGAGCTCCAAAATTGCTCTGCTTTTTCTCTAGTCCCAACTAAAGTCATCCATGATATGGTAAACAGATCAAGTGGCCTAACAACAAAGAAGTATATTGCATTTTCCCCAATCCTAATCTTTCTTCTCCTTCAGTTTTCCTCAATGCCACAAGTGAAAAGTCATATATACTGCTAGAACCTCTGAATCAATAACATGCATAGGAAGTGTCACCTTTCAGTGCCATTCTGGAGATCCAGAGTGATGTATTAGGACTCAATCTTTTAGCTCTCTCACACTTTACCATGAATTGTTGAATAATTAAATACAGAACTATTCTTTTCCAGCTCATGAAATTGTTGATTTTTTCCCTCTGTTGTGTCTCTCTTAGGGTTTAAAAGTGAGCAATTCAATACGGCATACATGTGAGAAAGTAAAATAAGAGGGGATATGCTGTGATTTTTTTCTTAATTTATATTCATGGTAGGGTTATTTACCTTTATTTAGCAGCATGACCCCCACATTTGCAGAACCAATACATGGTGTTTCATGTATTGATAATTTTACCATTTGTACAAGATATGCTCTGTTTTCAGTTCCTCCATTGCTCATCCCATTGAAAATAAAGGGGTTTACTTTTATCCACCATGTTACATATCTATGAGAGGTTCAGGAACATATCCCCCACGAATATGGGGATCATACTGTACTTATTTATTAATAAAAATGTAAAAGTATTTCCAGGAGATCTATCTTCTTTGTATTATCCATATGTACAGTAAGACTATGCCAAATGTAAAACAGAGGTGAAAGCTTTCTTCCTCATTGAACTTTTGTCCGTCTTCTCATCTGGCTCCCTGTGGACATAAAAATTATTTCCAACACGATATCATTGTTTTTTCAAGGATTGTTAAGGGGATTTCCAGTATCTTGCAACATTGATTTCTACAGGTAAGAGCAGACTCAACAGAAAGTCTGCAGATACAAGTTTCTCAAAGTTTAGATGCAATCATTTGATGTTTCAGCTGTCTTTGCATACTTTCCTTATTACTTTTCAAAACTATTATATCACAGGACATTTCTTAAAAAAAACAACATCTCACTTACATTGTTTCTATCAGAGCAGGCAGTGGAATTTGTACAAAGATATAAATTGAAGGGACATTCAATTCAAGCTGTGTAATTTATTTGAACTGCATTTTTTATGTTGCACAAACCAACCCTTGGAGATGATCTTCTTTATCCAGTCACCTATACCTACCTTCTCAGCCACAGTCATGCAATATAATTTCTGCAGTTACTAAAGGCAAGTACTACCCACTATGCTAGAGGTAATTATGTACAATATTTAGCTGAGCGGATCAGGCCCATACTCTTAGAATACAATTTTTTTAAAAAAATCTGAAACCATTATTCTTTTGAAAATATTCACAGCATGATAATTTTATGACAATGGACATACACTTATAGTGTTCTTACAGAGATGGTGGTCTTTGAACACAGGATTTTTATCCCATTTCTTTTTCTCACCTAATCCTTGAATACTAATTAATATACAAACTGTAGACTACCAAAGGACTAAATAAGTTTAA